GAAACATCTTTAGAAGTTTTCTTTTCTTATTTTACTTTCAATAAAGCCCCTTTTTCACCCTTCATCACTTAAATCTGTTTATTTTTCAAGACTACATGTACTTTCAGTGTTCAACAGAGTCTGAGTTATCAGGTTAAGTTATGCAGCTGATTAAAGCCCAAGCTCTGAATATAGGAAAAGAAAATATACTTTATTTATACCCAAGGGGGAATGCAAATTTTCACTGTTTTTGAACATGCCTCTGACTTACAGGCCAGAAATATACCCATGCACAAACAAGATCACAGACATGAACTAACGGAGAGATCTTAGAGGAAGAAAGCTGCACATGCACGACAACCTGAGCACTTCGGGGGGCTCTACTCACCTTGGAGTAGAACTGGCACCAAACCAAGTTTCATATTTAGGCCACACTGGGACTTGATCGTTGACCCTCCTTTCCTCAAGCCAAGTCCCTGCAGACTTAACTGCTGCAGCTCCCAGGTTGTGATTTATAGTATGTAGCAGGAGCCTTGGGTCCCAGAAAGGCAATACAGTGTAGAGTCCTGCGCAAACCAGAGCAGTTATTATGTCAGACCAAAGGGACTTGTTTTGGTTGTCCTAGAATCAGATGTTTCTCCATGTTTCAACAGATTTCAAGAAATGCCAGGAAACCAGTTAGCATGTCTGCGTTGCACCCTGAGCAGTGCAAGTTGAGTAATACTTCACTCATGATTAAAACTTGTCCAATTGTGTTAAATTAAATCTCAAACTCCTGGATAAAAAAAAATAATTAGCTGGAAGTGGATGTCCTAATAAAAAAAGAGGAAGTTCTGATGACTCCCTCTCTGCACGTTGCATAAGACGGTCCCGATCGTTTTGCTGTATTGCAAGAGATTGAATCAGGTCAGATCAGGGTCAGTGTGATTGGCAGTGCCAGTCACAGAGGTTCTCTTCAATTCTGTTTGAGCAGAAGAGATACAGGCGGGCAGGCAGGAAGTTTCGGTGTTATTCACAAAATTTATGAGACCTAGTCCCAGCTTGATCAGTCCTCATATAAACCTGAGCTGTGCCACAGTGCTGAAATAGAGCATTTTGTACTCTACATGATGTAAAAAAGGTTGAGTTTCAGCTCAAATGAATTCCTTTTCGTGTCTTATTTGCTGACTCTAAATACGTAAATGCCCCCAGAGGCTTATTGTTGGATTTTCAGCCTGACTTTTATGAATGGCGGAGACATTTTCACGCCCTCAGCTTGTTCCCTTGAGGATCGGCCGTGTGGGTCACTTTGATCTCTCATCCTCTGTCTTTTAAGTTTCCTACCTTGTGTAAAAAATGTGCCTTATCAGAGGAAAAAAAAAAGCGAGGGAGTTAAAGAGAGAAATAAAGAACCGTTTGCATTTGTGCAAGGACAGCAAATTTGTGGCTAATCCCCCAAACCCTGCCGATAGCAAGGCTAGCAAGCATCATTATTCTTTCATGTGTCGGGCGAGCGGCTGGGTTGTCATCACCGGCAGAGGAAGTGTCAAAGTGGATGTTTACATCAATAATTAAACCGAGGGCTCAGAGAGTCATAACAGCCGGGGTTCAGGTTGGCGTTACGCTTTAATATTTCGAACAGTTTGTCCCTGAGCCATCCATAACCAACGCGGTTCCCAAAGAGGGAGATTGTGGGTGTACTGCAGAGTAGTTCTTACAAACCCAAGGGGATGGAGAAGACTTTTCTACCTTTTCAAAGATATATAGTTTCTCAGTTTAATGAAAGTTCACGAACCAGGTGTAAATCAGGCGCAGTATTTGAAATGTTAATTGGGAGGCTTAGCTCCCACCAAAGGGGAGCGGGTGGACTGGTTCTTGGCTTTCATTTGAAAAGGCATGTTCAGACTGCCAAATTGGTTACCTAATGAGGTATGAGGTCAATGCACTGACTCAAGCGAACAGAGATGACTGAATTTTACAGTTGGGGATCTTCAAACTTGAAAAAATGCATACCTGACAAATTATCGATTAAATTCAAGCAAAAAAAGATTTAGATTAAACATTTAGCACTCTAGATTTTTTGACATTTGGATAAATTGCTAAATTTCAAGTGTTTGTCGTTATCAATAGATTATTTTGCATTTAAATCAAATTTTAATTACATGTCAGAGCAAAACACTGTATGCAATGTGGTCATACGTCTATAACCCACAGGATCCGGAACCGCTCTGGCACGGCAGGTGGATCAAATACACAAGCATTATAATCAATGTGCGCGATTCCACACAATCTGTCCGCCGTCCGGCTCTGCTGTGGATTAGCTCCAGTGGCTGGATCTGATAAGGCTTCTATTTTTGCCAGACGTCGCAGCATGGTGCATCTATTCAGTGAATGAGCAGCAGCGGAAGTTGTATGTAGTTACAGAATAAAATATCCGGTTAATTTTCAAAATAAAATAAAAATAAAACAAAATAAATAAAATAAAAAGTCAATACGTTGAACTGTTCTTTACTTGATAATGGGAGAGGCCAGGTTTGTTGGATGCGGGTGTTAATATACAGTGCCGTTTATATACACCGATCGGCCGATCTCATTCAATGTCTCATGGGGAAACACGCAAGATCTCGTGAGATCTTGTCCAGTCTTGCAAGAAATATTGGTAATCTCACAAGCGCGTCTCCTCCGATGGCAGAGGCGGATTTGATCCTGTGTAATCCCCAGGTCTTAAACCATGACTCAGAGGGCGGGAACAGCTTCAAAGTGTTTCACCCATAGTGGCGATTTACAAAAATAGCTACCTAGTGGCTTTTGTGTGGCACTTCCCTGCTAACTTACTACTCCTATTTTCTTAGCTAGAATATAAAATCAACTGTAGCTACTTCAGTAGTATCTGTGTTTATATATTTAGTTTGACACTTGGTGAATATTACTTTCTGCTTGTCAACTGGGCCAAAGGAGAGTTTGTTTAAGTGGTATACTTTATTCACAAGAGCAGTGATGTAGTTTGTCTGTTGTGGAAGTTTAACTTCAGGGTGCTAAAAGGGACAAAAACTTTGGACGAAAAAATGAAGCAAAATTCAGAAAAGAACTCTGCTCATTTAGGACCTAACCCACACTTTATTAATGCATTTAAACCATAGACTGTATATAGAAGTTATTCTGAGGTTCATGTTTTCTATGACTGACTCTTGATACAGCCTATGGGTGTACAAAGATTGGGGAGCTCACCGGGGAAATACGCAGTTTGAGCCGAGCATCATCATAGCTCTCCCGCCTAATACGTACAGTTCTACTGCGCAAGTGGTGGAGTGCGTACAACGTGACAGCACAGTGTTGGTTTTCCATTGCATATACAGTCTATGATTTAAACCGACAGCCTATTAAAGAATGAGATTTTCAGATTAAAGTGTATATATATGTATGTGGATCAGTTGCAGACCCCTTCTTTCTTTCCTTTCAAACCAAATCTGGTCCTTTTGCAGTTGATGACTGTTCACAAATGAGTCTGTTTTTCTTTACCGCAGTTACCAAGTGCTTTCCCATGATGCATCACTGTTAAGTCTCTTACAATTATGTCAGACCGCCTCTTCATGTAAACTGGAAAAAACAAATCTCTGCATATGTTAGTGTCTGGTCTTTTCCTTCTTGAGTTTATAGTTTTAACTATTTTATATTTTAATATTTGCAGATTTATATTGCTGTTGTTTAGGGACATGCATGAGCTGATGAATAACAGGTCAAATGCAGGCTGACGACAAACAAGAGGACCGTATTGTGTCAGTGTAACACATGGGGCCAGCCCGCGGGGATGTTATATGTGGTGAAACATGTTTGCTATACCAGAGCGTCATACTTTGACTCATCAGAGCAGATGGAATTAGAGTGATGGCAAAAGTGAGCACTTATGTAGTTGAAGAATCCACTCACGCTCTTAGTGCTGGATGGCCTTTTATAGAGAAGAGCTCAGACATGACTGTGTTGAACTGTTTTGATATTAGGAATGAAGTTAGAGTGGACACTGAGTAAGATTCGCTGACTTTTCTTGGATGGGGAAAAGGAGCAGCAAGGGGCCCATCAAGACAAAAAGGTCCTTTGTTGAATAAACTGTGTCATGGTCCTCCCTCCTGGCAAGACAGCTGTCTCCAAACATCCTCAATAAACCTCAAAGGTGCAAAAGTGTTGAAAACTAGAAGTCCTCTTTACAGGAGATCTCGAGTGATGGCGATATAAATGTCAGGGAAATTTACTGTGCACTCCAACGTCAGGTGAAAGGGAGTCGGGAGGGCATTTCTGTACTGTTTCTTTTTGTTGCACTTGCCAAAGAGGACAAAAGTACATTTATTAAAGGCCACAGGACAGTCATATGTCTGAGAATTACAGACACCGGCTTTAGCCTGATGGTGAGGAAAGAGACGTTAACACAAGTTTATTGTCAGGGTTACAAACGGCTAGAACAGACAAACTGGAGCCGTAAAAAAAAGCACAACATGGACTTTAACAGTCGTCCAAATTGCCATAGTTTAAGATTTTATTCCTCTCTAAAAACCAAAACTGTGTGATCAGTCTTGGAGCAGATTGATAAACAATTACAGGAACTAGAACTTCTACTGACTCAAAGCATTTGTTTAAAAAACACGCTGATAAATGTTTATGCATTTTTAAATAAGATTATTTCAAGAGTTGTGGAGCTTTTGTCTCTTTTTTGGGGGAGAATGTGAAGAGAATATTTAAGTAGTTCATGAAAATTTTAATGCAATATAGATTTTTTATTTTTTTGGCCTTTATCAGACAATGAAGAAATTTGAGCGTGGTTGAAGAAACAACCGAATGATAAAAGCAGGACCAGCTTGTAGATGTGGGGGGTGAATAAAATTAAAAACTGAATAAAAACTGAGCAAACTCTGACCTGAATTTTGAGTCACATGACTGGTTTAGCACCATTTGCCTTAGAGTTGATTGGGCAAACCATGATCTGACCATCTGCCTCTGACTCGTCGGATGAATTTCTGGCATGTCAGAAATTCATCCATCCAGGGGTCTTTTTTTTTTCTCTTTTTTTGCCTGATTGTCCCCCGTACATAATGACAGATCTTTTCTAAAACTGTCACTGTGCACCATGAGCCTTTATGAGCTGTAAATGATCCACTTGCACAGTATGAGTTGAAACCACATTTATCCAATCACAGCGTATGCTCGGCCTAAAAGTCGTCATTGGATATCATTAGAGCTGGACTATATGGATGGGAATGAATATATTTAAGTTGTTTCATGGTATTATTTCCAACCTCAATAATGACAGAAAACAACCCCAAAACACAATTCTCCATACACAAGTACCCCCCCCCCTGCTCCTACTGGGTGTTGCAGGGTCATTGAAGGGCTGCTTTCCCACTGCTGGCAGCAGGGGAAAAACAGTGTAGTGTGATTTATGATGTTAATCATTAGCAGGAGAGGAGTGGAGGCATAGAGGGAGTGGAGAGAAGCTGCACTGCTTGATGGAGTGTGTCCCCTCTGCTTGAGCCAAGCCTACATTTGGCTCCACGCAGAGAGGCTGAGCACACTGCTGTCTGATGGAGCGCGATGGACAGCAACTGGGGAGATGCATGAATTCATCGCAGGATGGTAGTCAAGAACACCGCCATGGCTGGGTTCAAATGAGTCGAAAATCATGATTCAGCAACAACAATCCAAAGAGGGGTGGAAAAAAAGGGAAAATATAAGCCAGGAGCCAATTGAGCAGTCCTCCAGGACAAAACAGGAAGTAAACGTTGTCTCCAATTACCAAACTATCATGGGACTATAGAGCTCTGAATCCACAATAAGTAAAATTCAGCAAAACTTGATGCTGTCTCAGTCTTTTTTAATGAGTTCAAAGTTTCAAACATCTCAGGACTTCAAACTTCTCACACATTTCAAGTGGTTTGACCCTCCCTGATTAGGATTTGGCAAGAGTCTTTTTGAGGAGCTGTCTGCACAGAGAATTCATCCTTAAAATATGTGTCAAGTAAGATTTTCAGCTATTTCAGTAACAAAGGATTGCTGTACGGGCATAAAGTCGTGAGAGCAGGGGCGTGTCCTGACTGTCTCGACTGGGGTGCCCCAACCACAGCTGTGACTCACGCAGGGGTGGCATGAAGATTGTGTGCAGAATCAGGAATCACAATTAAATACTCACTTATATCATCTCAGCTAATTTAATTTAACTACTTACATGTAATAATGGAGGTATAATTAGATTAGATACAACTTTATTTATCCTTTTCGAACTTCCCTCAAGAAAAATAAAAAGTTAAGTGGTGCAGAAGTACAATCCTGTGTATGCACTGAAAAAGTTTCACAACATTGTGATAACATATCTAACTTCTCTGCTTCATGTGGGGACTCAAGGAAAAATAAAGGATAATAACAAACAAAATAAAGAGAAAATATGCTTGAGATGTAAACAAAGACAACATGGGGGATTCAGTTATTAATAATAATTTATACATAAACATTAAAATTGAACATAAGCCAACCAGAACAGTCGTAGGCTGAAGCTTAAGTTTATTCCGCCCACCTTTACAGGGAACATATGTAATATAAGAGCAAAATAACATAACAATCCTTTAATGTTCGTACAAATGACAAGAAAACAAGCCAACATGAGTGTGACTCCTGCATTTATACCTCATCTTTACATGGTTCTATCAAATTATTTTTAAGCATCCCTTAAAAAAAAAAAAGGCAATTCAGGTTTTTTCAGTTCCTACACACTTTGTGTTTATGTGAAAAGTCATTTTTGCATCTCATTACAATGCACGTGTGTGTGTGTGCGCGTGCGTGTGTGTCAGGCTGAGACCAGAGTGGAGGAAACAGCAGCGTCACCTGATCCCTACATGTTTTCAATTAGCTCTGACCTGCGGAGGGTTGACAGGGAGCTTCACACAGTGATTGACATTGTGTTGTGACAAAGTGTGTAAAAAAACAAGAAACTTTGATGATACAGGGAGACAGATCACTCCCTCTGCAGATACACACACAGACGGACACGATGAATGAATGATGATTCAGAGGGCACAAACTTTTACAAAAATAATGTGTATACTATGACGTTATGAAGTCAAATGTTAGTTTAATCTGTTTCATAATTTTTTATTTATATCAATGGATTCATTATTTGTTCTTGTTCAATTGAATTTCAGTTAAATTTTAGTTTATTATTCCAATTATAACCTGATTAAAGCTCCTATGTAGATTTTTTGTCATTTTTGAAATACTTTAAATATTAAATATTTTTATGAGATCTGAAAGTAAACAAAACCAACAGAGGTGATAATAACAATTTGTAATTTGTAATTTTTAATGCCTGAAAATGAAGTGAGGGAGGTGGGCGTTCCGTACAAGTGAATAAAAGCTAATTATACAGTATGTTTATTAATTTAATTAACCCTTTTAAAGTCTGATTAATGTAAATAAATACACTGTTAATATTTATGAAAATTAAAAAAATAAATAACAAATTTCTGATGAGAGTCTATAAATGAATAATGAATGTGTTAATTATGCTTTTATTGTTTATTAGCATCCTATAATGTCTTATTAGTGGCTTATTAGCTGTTAATTCATGCTAATTACACAGAACTTAATATAAAGTGTTACTAATATTTGATCTGATGTTTTTGCTCCTATTTCAGTCGAATAAAGGCATTAAAGGATTGGCAAACTGTCAGTCTAGTTTTCATGGTATCTGGAATTTTTGGATTGGGGTTAAAATTATTACAATAAATTTTGGTGGAAATACAAGAAACCTGAAAAAATCTCTGTTATAATGGAAGCTACATAAGTGTAACCCAGTGTAATTCCTAGCAGCGTTATAGTGAACTCGCTCCATCCAAAAGGAAAATCCGGCACTACCTGAGGCATCTAACCAGCAGATCCCGAAATCTCTCTGTCACATCCCAGAGAACAACATGGTCTCTATCAAAAGCCAGCCGCTTTGTGAAGCATGACAAAAGTTCTGGACGGGTGGGAGGAGAGCGCTTCACATCACACAAGCTGTCAGGGAAGTTCAAAGCGGGTTCAGAGAGGAGTCAGACTTCACCCTGACGTGAGCTGTTGGTGCAAACAGATCCGAGACTCTACCTGACGTCTCAGACTTCTCCCTGTCTTCCCGAGTGGCAGGTCAGATTGCTGGAATCTCCCCTCTGATGACAAGATTTTTGTTTTTCTTTTGGCTGCCTTTCGACTTTTCAATAAAATGTAACAGGCCAGTGCTGAGGCAGCCGACTTTGGCAGCTCAGGGGGATGTTTTTCCCTTTTTTTTTTTTTTTTCAGGAGAGACGAGAATTGAAGCTCGCAGTGTGTGACAAATAACCAATAGTTACAGAAAAATGTGACATGGACTTTGATGAATCGGGTTGTGATTCCCTGTTTCCTGTTCATTTCATTGCTTATCCTTCAGTGAGAGTTTGTCAAAAATGCTTCCATCCTTAAAATCTACTCCTGGCCTTGAGTAAAACACATCCAAACTTCCAAACTAAAAAAAAAGCCAAATTATCACCTGACAAATGCAGAGACAAGTCCCACTCAGGTGTGTTGATGCTGCTGACAGCTTTCATTTCAACACCCATCTCCCCTAAGAATCTCTGCAGGTTTTTTCCAACAAACTAAGTCTGAGTTATGTGCATGACAAACTTTTTCACAAATGATCCATGTGAAGAGCGGGAGTGAGTGTGCATTTATGCTGCTTTCACATTCTACTCCATGGATGATGGATGTGGGATTAGGCAGTATCATGAATCATATCAATGTTTTCCCAGTCACTGTCGAGACATGTGCGACTAAGCCCTGTTCCTGAAAGATTCTCATGAAAAGCAAAGGATAATGCTTCAGCTTCTTATGGATTAGCATAGAAAATGTAAAAACCTCAGCACAGAGAGCCTTAAAAATAGGCAGAATATGATAAGTACTGTACAACTGTCCATTTTTTGAGTTGCCATATTTTATACAAGTGCATAGGAGGATTGATTTTGCTACTCTTACTTCTCTATATATCACAAATATCGCAGCTCCATCTCTTTAAATCAGACCAACTCCCATTCCATTTCCAACCACATGAGTGAAACACTTATCAGCATATAGTCAGTTACAGTGGAGAGGACTAATTTCCTTTAACAGGCAGAAACCTCGAGCAGTACCAGACAAAGATATCGCAGCTCCATCTTGTTAGATCAGGCCAACTCCCATCCCATCTCTTTAACCACACGAGTGAAACACTTCGGGGCATTTAGCAAGTAACAGTGGAAAGGAATAGCTTCCTATTACAGGCAGAAACCTTGAGCAGAACCAGACTCGTGTAAGACAGTCATCTGCTGTGACTGCATTAGGTTTAGAGAGGGGATAGAGGGAGATACAAAAAAAAGTGTTGTAGGTAGATGAAGCAGCGAGAAAGCGGGCAACTTAACGTCTGCAGCAGCGATCCAGAGAAACCTACGACTGTGATTCTTCCTCTTTGAGTTACTCATCAACTGAACATTTATACTTTCTGTTCTAATTTCAACTGTTCTCATTCAGTTCACTTGTAGGCTACCTAAAGTACCTAAAACTTCAAAATAAAAGCATAGTTTCACAATGTAAGAAACTAGAGGAATTCACAAGCTACTTAGCAGTCTGTATATGGACACATAAAATGTAATTAATGTCATTTTAAATTAAATTACACCCTGACTGTATCCGTTAAAACAGTAACATGACTAACACACTGATGCATTTAAAAAGTTATATAGAAATAATATGACAGTACCTCAAACAAGATCATTCTATTCATGGCTTTAGGCACTGTGAGTGTTGGACAAGGATGTATAAAAAATATAAAGTGATGAACGTAAATGATTATGTTAATAAAGTTAGTGTTTGAAATGATATTCAGTTTTATTATTATTTAACTGTGAAAATTTGGATCATTTTGAAAACATCAATATTTCTTTATTTGGATCTTAAAAAGCCTTTAATTTGACATTAAAAGCACGTAGTAACCTATTTATTTATTTTTTTCTTGAAGGAGTTTAAATATTTAAGTATTTCAGAAGCAAATGAACTCAGGCTATTAATTAACAGATTTACTCTAATTGGAGAAACATGTGACCAAGTGTATCTATCCCTGGACTCAAGTTATGAGGTTGTGTCATTTGTATGTTTTTGTTGCTATTTGTCTTTTTTTAAATTTTATTATGAATTAACATAAATAATGAGAAATGTCCCTCAAGTGGCTTTAAACTTTAAGTAGCAGCAGAATAAATTAAATATGTTGCAGCAAATTCAGCGTCTCTAAGGAACTTTAATTTTGTGTTGGTTTTGGCGCCCCCCTGTGGCCAAAGCGGTGCTCTGTATTTCTTTGCTGATCTTATCTTTTCCCAGATGGTCTTGTAGTTTTATTTTCTTCATTATTTATTTAATTTTTGTTTTTTTTTTTTGCGGTCTGTTTTGTGAATACCTAAAAACCCCCTATAGGAGCTTTAAAACCTTAAGGACTCACCTGTGACTCAGTCGGCACTTTTGTCATTAATTAATCTTTGTTTTGCGTAATTAGCAAAGGTAATGTGGTTCAGTCATTATAATTCTGTAACAAAAGCTCTTTCTGTTCCCGCACCTGGAAGAATACCTGTTCATAATCGGTAAAGCACGAGCTTTCTCGCTCAGTTGTCGAGTTCATTAAAATTGCAGTGACTCACCGGCTCCCTATCTCACAGCACTTTTGATCGACAAAAACAACAGACTTAAATGGCCAGGTAAATGTCAGGTTTGTTGTTGGCAATGACCGCTCTTGTCCTCCACTGTCAGTCGAATGACACACATACACACTAACTGTACCCTCTGTCTATAGTCGACTGTGTCAACAACCTCAGACATCATTAGGGATCCAGAGACAGAGCCCATCACCACGCACCCATCCTCGCCTTCTCCCCTCGCTGCCTCGCTGTAACATTTAACTCACTGCCGCTTTGATCACATCGGCAAAGTAGGCAGATCAAAAAAGGAAACTACTCATCTCTGCTGACATGAATTTTCTCATGTATGACAGGACTAGTTCCTGAGCGTGTGTGTACGTGTGTGTGAATGTGTGAGACCCACCACCTGCTGTTTAGCCATAGGCAATGAGAAGGTGCCGCACCAGATGCTGGTTTCATGCTAAAAGCTGTGATCCAAACCAAATGACCCGACTGGGTTGGCGTGTCCTTGCTTCAGCGGAGCAGCATGGGTAAACAAGAGCATCGACATTCAGTCACAAAGGGCTTGTTCTCCGGAGGGATGGAGTGGATCAGGGAGGGGAAACGGGGTCCTTTGTGATTCAGATCTTTAGAGGCAAACCTGGATGGTAGACATGTCTTCTTTAATGTTCATGCTGAGTATATTTCAAGTTCTTAATGGAGCGTTTTCATTATGATTAAAGTGTTATCAAGATTACTTAGAGCTTCAGATGTAGAACCATTTATTATCTGTTCATCTCTCAAGTCTCCTTTCTTTTATTCTAACATTATAGAAACGTACTTTTCACATTTGTAGAGATACTTTTAGATCAGCTTTCATCAACCCTGCACCTTGATATTTATCAGATGTTTCTTTAAGTTCATACAATAAATCAGCTTTTACTATATGGTTTGAATGCCCTGAAAAACTGAACAATAGCTTTGAAAGCAATTTCAATTCACATATATGACTGACTAATAGGCTCCCACAGCCCTAATATCAGCATTTACAGCGGAAGTAATTATATCATACAAGGGCTTTATGTTTTAACACTGTGATTAAAGTCTGAAAATACTTAGTTTAATCATCTGCTATTATGTCCCTTTCAGGTCACTATAGTTTAGTGTCTTCCTGCTGCTTCCATAATGGAGAATAATTGACGAGTTAAAATTGGTGTGCACTTCATGTAACACACATATTAGTCATCTGTGTCTACTGATAAAATAATCTCAATATTGCAGATTTTTTTAGGGTCAATTGTAAAGACAGGGATTTTTGGTGACACTCTTATATCAATTTATAAAGCCATGTATCTATCACTCAGAGGTTGTTTCAAAGCCTTATAGATGAATTAATAATGTGCTTTTGATGCATTATATAAAAAGGGGTTCGTATAAAATGTTAGCAGATTTTTATTTAGAGGCTCCAGTGATATCTACCCCCTTGCACCCATCACCAGCATTAAAAAAATATAAAGTATAAAGATGGCAAATCTTGTCACTTATGGTCTTGTTTGCATATATTTGTCATCAATATGAATTTCAATCTGTTTTATTATTGTCCAAAAACTCCTTACAGTTGCTTTAAGTTCGGCTTATGATTGAAAAATAGTGGATTTGTATCACTAAATTAATTAAATATATTGGCTTCAAACTGTGTGAGAATTTGAAATCATGTTAATGTGTGTTTTTGAGTTTTTAAGAATAGGTGTGGAAATGTGATGCAGTCTTAAAGGTTAGAAAACTTAAGAAATGTAGAGAGAGGGTGAAATTCACCAACGTTCCTCAGCCGTGGGTTGAACTAGCGACCACTTAACCGGCCCCTTACTTCAAATTTGACACTCTCGCATACTGAGTCCATTAAAACTGATGTAAATTACACTGATAAGAGCAAAATTCATTTCTACTCCTGGCGTTATAAAGTCAGCCTATAATCACAGAGAGTCTTTCATTTGCTCCATGCAGCGCTCAATGGAAAGTTCCGGCAGCCTATTTGACCTTAACTTTTAATTATAGCGTACCCCCCGCTGTGGGAAAACATGCTTTGTAGAAGACACCGTCTTTTATATCTCGTATGTCTTTCTTTTGGGAACAAAGAAGAAGTACACTGTATACTTCTCTTGTAAATTAAAAAGCGATCGAATTTGGGTCAAGCAGGGACGACCAGTTCTATTTATTGCATCGCCATGGTAACAGACATTTCCTAAAACGCTGTGACATTATGGCAGCTATCAATCAGTATTGTTGTGACACTGGATAAAGCAAGCGAATCACTTCTTGAGTAGTGTTTAATTCATACCAAACTATTTTTCCCAGAATGCATCTGGCGTGTATTGCTGTCCAGCAGTAAGGTCAGGGAAAAGGCTTAATTGTTATGAGCTGGCTCCATGTTTCACAAATTGGACTGCTTAATACATTACAGACTCGACTTGTACCACCTGTAGAAAGGCAAGATTTCATGGGCTTGATTACTGATTATGCCTTGATTAACAAGGAGAGTGGAGGAGGTGTGCCTGTGTGTGTCCCCGCAGTGTGATGTCTGCAAACGTGTGTGTACCCATTTCAGGAGAAGCCGCTGCTGTAATTAGCAGATGTGACACTCTCGGGCTCCTCTTGTGCATAGATTGCTTAGTTCCCTGCATCAGAGGAGCACCCCGGGTTGGCACAGTGGCTGGCAGCTTCCCAGCAGATGCAGAGGCTGGCAGTGTTTACAGCTCAGTCTCCCCACAGTTCAGGGGGGGTTTCATATAGAGTACAGACAGTTTATTGGCAGGCTGCGCTCGGGAAAAAGAGACCTGTTCTTTAAGGAACTTCAGTGAGGTGTCAGTCTGCAAAAATGCTCTATAACTGGGGGAGCAGAAAGCCTTACCTTCGTAACAGTGATGAAATTGAAAGAGTCTGGATCAATGGATCAATTTTCATTCATATAGTTCCTCGTGTTCAGTAGGATCGGGCTGCTCTTGGCAACAACATCAAGAAAATTGTACTACAACAAGTAAGAAACTCAGGATCCCCTTTAGATGTGAGCAGGTCTTCACTATCTCTAGAGTAAACTACTAAACACAAGCACGTTCAATGAATGCATTTCAGAGCATTCATGCACAACACTGTATGACTGATAATTATTACAGTCAACATACTGTCTATTAACAGCACCAGAGCACCTGTGGGACAACGGAACACAAAAATAGTGGTTAGATACAAGAAGAGAAACATGCATTCAGAAAAAGTCGATACAAAGTGTGAGAAGGTGAGAAATGAGCTGTATGGAAAGTTCCCTGTAGGCGTCACTCTCAGTCTCTGTATCTGTTCAATCAAAAACATCATCTGCATCTGCATTCGGGTAAAAAACTGCAAGAAGGCATCACTTCTATAAGTAGTATTTATATCTGTCTATATGATATGATCGCACACAATTAAAGGAGGTCATGTTAATTCTGGTAATGC